ACAGCGAGGTAGGGCCACAAATGAATATGGATGTTGATGACGCGTCTTCAAAAAACTAGGAGATGGCGGTGCTGACTGGACAGCACCACCAGTAGCGGAAAATGGCGAGGCTTTGAAGGTTGTTCCTTTAGCGGGGGCTGGTCAAACCGCTACTCCCTTGCCAGTGGCTGGTCAAACTGGATTATGTTATTTTCCTGTTTGTTTTTCAGTTCAGAACATTGTTTTGTTTTTTATTTCCCCTTCTAGTAGCAAGTACAACATTGCTGTGTATGGAGTCTACCACGTTGCGGGGTTAACGAGATGGTCCACTTGTATGCGCGATTCCAACTCAGAGTCTCACCCCAGTGTAGCCTTCGTTATGACAACTTTGTATTTGGTGCTCAGTTTTATTAATGGTTAAGTTATCTCTTTTCAAAAAAACCAAAACAAAACATAAAACTCTGTGCAAAGAGATATACAATAAAAAACCAAAACAAAACAAATACTCTGTACTTCATAAGAGAACATAAAACTTATTAATACACGCCTCCACGAAGCATCTGAACCTTCATGGTTCCTTTTACAATTTTCACATATCCCTACTTTTGCTAAACGCCTAAACACACGCAACGAAAAAATCGTTTCTACAAACCTCAGGAGGATTTACAAGAACTAAAACTAAAGAAGATATACAATTCATCGAGCATTGTGGCATGAATAGAGACCAAAGAAGATATAAAAAGGTCTATGAACTTAAAAATCTCTAACTTGTTAAAATGTCCATGAATTATTAAAAAGTCCACCAAATACATATTCAATACACCTTATCCCCAAGTTGAGCATATGAGATAATTACACTAGGTATTACTAAAACTCAATCACTTTCCCAATCTATAACCTGGTGAGTTTTTTTCTCAAAATATAACTAAAATTCGTAATAATTAATTAATATATTGATAAATAACTAAATAAATTATTTTTTATGACTAATATGCCCTTAGAATATTATTATAAAAGCCTAATATCCTATTGCTTTTAACCCTAAATCATTTAGCTATGTCCTCTGCGTACAAATGTCATACATGCCGCCGCCCTACGCACATTGCAGCCGCCCTATGTACGACCACTATTCATGTAGATCGGCAGCCTCATGGTTGTGAACTACGAACAGGATGCGATTGACGGCCAAGAGGTGGGGCTGGTGCGAGGAGATGCCGTGAGGGACTGGTGAAGAGGACGACTTGACAAGTTGCTGATAGAAAAATTGATATTAAAAATGCGAGTTTAACCAGATAAAAATCCCGAGTTTAAACAAATCACCAGACAAACCGCCAAATGCAAGAAAAGAAAACAATAATATAATAATTAGAATAAACAAAATTGAATAAATAGAAATGATAAGAAAACTTATCGCAGGATCGCCCGTTAAAACGGACTGGCCTTGAAGGAAGATAGCCCCCGTATCCCGATAGATATTCGGACGGGCCTGGCTAGCTCGCTCCCAGGATAATCCTACCACGTTTCAGACTTGTAGCTACCTTGACTGAAACCTTCGACCGTTGCCAAATTTGCCCATTGATAGAGTTAACTCAATGGAAGAACTAGCTAGAGACAAAGATGATCTCCCAGAAGAAAAGCAAAGTTTTTTCAAGAAGAGAAAATCATTCCTCTCTTTTCCCTTTGTGCGTGCAAACTAAATAGGTAGTGAGTGGAATCACTAGACTCTTGCTTCCTTACGTACTAAAGAAAAGAAAGTAACGTAAGAGTCATGCAGTATGTGTTCTCTTTATTGTACGTAAACGAGTAAAGAAGCAGTCGGGGGATAGTTTTGAAACGGAAATCAAATGCATTAAGTCTTGAGAGTTGAATGGCAAAACGAAACTGATCCACATTAAGGATTCCATCAATAGCATTAAGGACAATTATTTGAATTTGAATTCAATTTCATAACCCAATCAGCTATTGCATTGTTCACACAATTAGAGAGTCTCTAAAATTACGACATTTAATTCTATCACTTATAATCTGTCCGATCAGGTGGACATATAAGTGAAAAAATTAAAATGTCACTCCATCTTATATGATACTTGAACAACGTTCCTTATCACATAATGATTATAAATAATCTTATGAGACTGTTTATCCTCTAATACAGAACAAATAAATTCATTATTTTAATACATCACTTTATATTCTTTACAACTATGGATTCTAATTTAAATCCAAATATGTAAATTATTCTTTGATGTATTATCAGTCTTCTCTCCATATTTAATACAATTATATCTTAGGACACAATAATGTGACCCAAAAAAAAATGTTTATATTATCATATTTCCAACAGCTGCGCCTTCGCCACCCATGGAGATTGGAGAACCAGAACCAATTGAGTTTGAGATGAATCCTGAGTTCCAACTTGCCGCTTGAATTTTTTATTGTTTGATTAGGATTTCCGCCTTCACCGCCCATGGAGATTGGAGAACCAATTAGGTCTGAGATGAATTATGAGCTTCAACTTGTTTCCTGAATTTCTTGAATTTGTTATTGTTTGAATATGATTTGTTATTGTTTGATTAGGAGTTCCATGATTCTGAGATTGAATTCTGGAATTTCCGATTGCCATTTGTATTTGTTGAGATTAAGATTTCTTGAATTTATATTTTGTGGGCATTAAACACAGACATTGAACATTGGCAGTGAATATTTTAATAAGTGGGCAGTGAATATGTATGGTAATAGACATGTTGTACATGACAATGAATGAATGCATTAAAAAAATTGTTGTGCAGTGATTTGTGATTATAACCAGTATTGCAATAACATAGAGCGGTAATATCATCATAAAATACAATATATACTTAATTAGACGTAAAATAATACAATTATTAAATCTAAAAAAAGTCCTCAAGTGAATGAGAAGAGAATTAATTTCGGCGGAAGTGCAGTAAAGTTGTGCATTAATGACGTGCAGTAACGGCAATATAAAGTGCAGTAATTTTAATTGGACGAAATCAATGAAAAATGCTCATATTTCAAATAAGGGTATTTTTGTCACTCAATCTTAAAAATAAACGAGATTATTTTATTTTTTTGGATTTTCGGTCATACAAAACTCTAAAAACTAGTTAGGTCATAGATTGATAAACTCATTTAGTTTTAGTCATACCATGGGAAATTTCCCTTCATATATATCGGGAGTACGTATATCGTACACCCGGGTATACGGGTGAGAACCGTACATCCGTTTTTTTTTAATTTTTTTAAACTTCAGCCCAATTTTGATATCCCAGATTGAATAGAATTAAATGAATCCAACGGAAGGCCCACAAAACAGGCCCAATTAAGAAAGTCAGTCCATTCAATTAAAACAGCCTATTTTTTTCGGTGGCAGTTTTGTAATTTAAGCGAAAAATCATGGCTCCCGCTAAATGAGCAATAATGTAGTTTTGTTGAGCATCTCACATATTGTATTGAGTATTATGAGGCGAATAATGAGTATCACAATTTTTGCTTCATATCTTCCAATTCTTTTTTTTTTCCTGCTATAAAAACTTATTAATTTATATCTAAAATTCACTCCTATTAATTTCAATATGCGAGTCTAATGTAATATGATACTTTTGAAATATGCATTGATATGGCATTTTAAAAATGAGCATAACATCAGTATCAAATGAGCATACATAACTTACAAAGTGCACATTGATATGAAAATTGTAATGATTGTTAGTTGAACATCATGACATTTTAATTGAGTATCAAACCTCCACTATTGAGATGAAAATCACGACTTCTGGAGAATGAGTAATAATAAACTTTTAATGAGCACCCGGCCTATTCTTTTGAGTATTAGGAGTCGACATTTTAATTGAGCATCAAACATCTGCTATTGAGATGAAAATCATAGTTTCTTGTGAATGAGTAATAATAAACTTTTAATGAACATCAAACCTATTATGTTGAGTATTAGGAGTCTATCATAAAATAATACGTATAAAAATGCATTGATATGACATTTAGAAAATGAGCATAAGATCAGTATCAGATGAGCATATGTAACTTACAACATGAGTATTAATGAATTTGTTAGTTGCTTTGTTGGTTGAAAATCACAACATTTTCATTCAGCTTCAAAACTCTTCTATTGAGATTGATGAAAATCATGATTTCTATTATATGAGCATTCATAAATTAATAATGAGCATCAGACCTATACAAATGAGCATGTGTAACTTACAAGATGAGCATTGATATGAAAATTGTAAGTTTTATTCGTTGAGCATCACATCCCCGTGATTGAGTATTAGAATCTGCGATTGAGTATCATGATTTGTGGCCTCGTGTTTATGATCAACTCTTATATAAATCTAATGTAATATGAGATTTTTGAAATGTGCATTGCTAAAACATTTTTAAAATGAGCATAACAGAGATATTAAATGAGCATACATAATTTACAAAATGAGTATTCAAAAATTCAAAAATTCATTTGTGTATGTTCATTTTTTTAAAGTGTTTTACACATTTCAATTTAAGGTAAAACTCATTTTTAATGTGCTCGGTATAATATACTCATGAAAAAGAGAAAGAGGTAAAACAAATAAAGAAAGGAAAAGAAGTAAAAAATAAAACCAAAGAAAATAAGTAAAGAAAGTAAAAGAAAAAGAGTGAAATCAACCACTAAAAAAAGTAAAGAAACTAAAAAACAAAAAGACAAAAAACGTAACAATCAGAACCATCAAAAAAAGTAAAGAAAACAAAACAAAAAGTAAACGTAACAATCAGAATTGATGACGGCGGAAGAAAGAAAGGAAGAGGAAGGTGACGGAAGAAAAGAAGGAAAAGAGGAAGGCAGCCGAAGACGAAAAGCGGAAGACTGCAGAAGACGAAAGATGATTTGCGGGAAAGAACATGCTGACTCAGAGACTTGAAGTTGGTATATTTACAAAAATACGAGATGTATACATCCGGGTGTAGGATATAAATTGCGATATATGGGGAGCTTTGGTGGCGCGCGGAAATTTCTAGATAATTTCCGGCATACCCGTTAACCCCCCACATAACTGACTGCCACCTTGATGGCAAGCGGCAACATCATCCTACCACAGCTTTCGACAATTGTGGGATAAAAAAGCACACCCTCATAGATCGGATATCGTAAAAGCATCTTCAGTGGCCGATCGGATCGGTAAGGCTCTATGCTTAAATACATGTTTCATATGGTTTACTATTTTTAGATCTTGTCTTGATATGTTTTCTCTATATGTGCATCATATGTTCGATGAAGGTCTTATAGCAGGCCGTACATCTATGTTTACTATTACTATTTGTATAGATTCTTCACAATTTGTTATACGGAACTAAGGGATTTGTATGATTGTATCAGTCTCTTGTTAGCTTCGAATCTGGCAACAACTTTGAAAACAACTAAAAGCAACGCTCGGATTTGTAAGTTAATTTTCCAGGCTGGGCTTTGGTAAAGTTTTGAATATTGATTCAAAGTTGAAAATTTTAATGTTAATATGGAATTGACAGATTTTTTTGATTGAGCAAATTGTTTCTGTTCATTCCGCAACTGGTTCTAAAAAACTGGATATCAGTTTTAATATCCACCCTGTTGTTCAATTTAGTACCCAATTGTCATAATATGCAATCACATAGAATTTTTTGAAATAATTGTTGTATGTAATCAGAATTAATTACCGTTAGTAAATTAAATGAAATGTTATTTTATTTTCCAGTCAAAACAGATTGCCAACAATTGATCTATCTCTTGTCCAATAAAGAGCAACTCATATCAATGGACTCATTAATATTTGAACACTTCATTAGTCTGTGAATAAGACCCTTCGATTCTATCTATTCTCAAAAATATTACTTCAAGTTTTGTTTCAACTACTTTTAGTCTTTTACGTGTGTTCACCAATTTTTATAATGTTTGGTGGATAAATGAACTCCTTTATAACCATTGAATCCCTTTTACTCCGTATACTCCGTATCTATTAATTTTAAATGAGTAAAACATTCACCTAATCATACACAAAATGATTTCAAATATATATATATATATATATATAGAGGAATGTTCATGTCAGGCCGGCCTGACGGGCTGCCCCGTCCGGCCGAGCCCGTTTGGGCACCTTCCCGGTGGAATTTTTTGATGAAATTTTTTGAGCATGTTCCTCATCAAGTCTAGTTTATCCATACCAAATTTCAGCTCAAAATTCGATCGGGAAGGTCGTCAAATGATTTTTGCAAGTTAACTGGTCTGGAATATGTATTTTCCGGACCAGTTAACTTGCAAAAATCATTTGACGACCTTCCCGATCGAATTTTGAGCTGAAATTTGGTATGGACAAACTAGACTTGACGAGGAACATGCTCAAAAAATTTCATCAAAAAATTCCACCGGGAAGGTGCCCAAACGGGCTCGGCCGGACGGGGCAGCCCGTCAGGCCGGCCTGACATGAAGAGCACTCTATATATATATATATATATATATAGAAAAGATCAGGTCCCTCCGGAGGGACTGGAGGGACCGTCCGGCCAAGGCCATCAGAGGCCCTTCCCGGTGGAATTTTTTGATGAAATTTTTTGAGCATGTTCCTCATCAAGTCTAGTTTATCCATACCACATTTCAGCTAAAAATTCAACCGGGAAGGCACTCAAATGATTTTTGGAAGATAACTGCGTTTTATATGTATATAAACTGCGCAGTTAACTTCCAAAAATCATTTGACTGCCTTCCCGATTGAATTTTTTGCTCAAATTTGGTATGGATGAACTAGACTTGATGAGGAACACACAAAAAAAATTTCAGCCAAAAATACCACCGGTTCTCAGGGGTTCTCACGGGTTCTCATTTTAAGAGGGGTTCTCACTAGAACCCTCCCCTATATAGTATATATATATATATATATAGAGGGCTCTTCTCATCAGGCCGGCCTGACGGGCTGCCCCGTCCGGCCGAGCCCGTTTGGGCACCTTCCCGGTGGAATTTTTCGATGAAATTTTTTGAGCATGTTCCTCGTCAAGTCTAGTTTGTCCATACCAAATTTCAGCTCAAAATTCGATCGGGAAGGTCGTCAAATGATTTTTGCAAGTTAACTGGTCTGGAAAATACATATTCCGGACCAGTTAACTTGAAAAAATCATTTGACGACCTTCCCGATCGAATTTTGAGCTGAAATTTGGTATGGACAAACTAGACTTGATGAGGAACATGCTCAAAAAATTTCATCAAAAAATTCCACCGGGAAGGTGCCCAAACGGGCTCGGCCGGACGGGGCAGCCCGTCAGGCCGGCCTGACATGAAGAGCACTCTATATATATATATAGTGTTTTGCCAATCCATTAAGCATATTCTACTAATTACAGTATTACACATTATTTTAAATAATTTTTATCCACGCTCTAATGGCCTACCTTGGTTTTTTAATTGTATTTTCTTTCATACATAAGATCGAAGCAAGACTAATAAAACTAAATAAAAAGAGTAGTATATAAATAATATAAATGTGTTTTTGACCGATATTAGAAGATGCTAAAGACTTTCTCTTAAAACAGAATGATTTGGACTTCTAAGTTTACTTATTGTATTAATCAAGAACATGTTTGCCCTTATCTAGGAGTAGCTACAAATAATTTATGATGAGAACCAATACTATTTTATAACAACCCCAGGTACCAAAAAAACATCATTCGCAAATATAATGATATAGACATTTGAGCTACTCACACTATTAAACACGGCTGTTAAATAAACAATTATGCCGAGTTGCTGTAATACCACAATCTCATCTATTATGGACATTAGCGATGTTAACCTTTTCAAATGTTAATAACATATTAGAATATACAGAGTATATGATTTTTCTAATGGAGCTTTAACAACTAAGAATGCTGAAGAGCCAGCTAAACATACAAATTTTTGTGTAAAGGGAAGTATTTTCATGTGTTGAGGGTGAGAAAGTAGTGTGCTCTCCTCATCTATTTATAGGAATAGAATGCCTCTATGCTTGTTTCACACAGAATTACTTTTAATTTTTTTATTTATACTCCCTCCGTCCCTTGATTAAGTTTATAGTCAACATTTCACGGTCTCCAATATTAATGTTTGACCATTGATGTTTAAAAATATACACTTATACGGAGTAACAATCTAACATTTCAATAATATATATCAAAATGAAGCATTCAAAATTACTTTGGAATTATAAAATAATCGGAGTACGGTTTTTGACTGATTAAAAGTTAGCAAAGTTTGACTCAAAAAGTGAAATTGTAAACTTAAATGCGAGATGGAAGAAGTATTTGATGTGGGGTTCACTATTAAGTGAACAGTGACCTCTGTACTTGATAGATAAGTTTTAAAGCTAAAGCCTCCTTTATCTGATCTAGTTGACTTGTATTTGTACATGAACTCTTTCACCTTGAATATTACAGCACACTTGTGATAGGATTACTGGGCATATAATTCAAAGATCTGAGCATTTTTATACTGCATACTTCATTATTTGTTGCTCACCGTGAGATTCACTTTTATAGTTTCTTGTATAAGAGTGATTATTATTAACAGAAACAATCCTTGTAACTCTTTCCTTTGGGTTAATTATTTACAATGTTTTCTTTTCTCTTCCCAAGTATGGGAAGTAATAATTATATTGAGTTATACTGATGAGATATAGACCCAATTTTCCATTCAATTTGACATGCACGAACTGAAACAGTGTCTTTGAGCAGTTTTTTTCCGTTTTATGTAGACTTATTTGGGCGGGAGTACTGTTGAGAAAATCTTTTGCTTTTATATAGTGATTACTTACTGCAAGTCCTCGCAAAAAATACTAGTATTACTTACTGTGAGTGCACATGCTTATGCATGAAGATAGGGAGAAAGAGGCTTGTGTTAATGACTTTGATGTTTGTTAGGTGTTTGAAAAAATTTAATTCCCGTTTTTCTTGAAATTTGTTTCTGGAATTGTTGCATCTTGTACTGTGTGGCCACAGGTGATTCCTCTTGTTGGATTTGTCCTTCGTGAGTTGTTGGAGTTTTGTTTTACGGTTTAGCTTACAATTGAGGCGGGGAGATTCAATGATCGCGATCTTAGTGAGAAAGTAGAGGACCTTAAATGGGCTTTTGGTAAGAGGGGAGTGAATTGCAGGGATTTGGTTGAAGAAATCTTCTGGGTTGACTGTAACTGAAGAATTCTTTTAGTGTAGAAGTGAATATTGAGTGCATTTTGAAGCTTTTATATAATCTTCAAAATTTCAGTTTGAGGGAGCAATATTCAGGGTGTTGTCAAATTTAATGGATGAAGCTTCAAATGCTTTTCCTCCTTTCCTTGCGAAGACATATGAAATGGTGGATAACTCCTCAACCGACCCTATCGTCTCTTGGAGTCAGAGCAACCGAAGTTTCATTGTTTGGAACCCGCCAGAATTTTCGAGAGATCTCTTGCCCAGATACTTCAAGCATAACAACTTCTCCAGCTTTATCAGACAGCTGAATACTTATGTCAGTATTTTTTCCCCTTCAATTTCTGGTTTTGGGTTTTTATTAACCAAGTTAATTGATACTATATTACTGACCCCTAGTAGTTATGGTGATGATGACGATTAACCTCACATACCTATTTTCTGTTGTGTAGGGATTCAGGAAAGTTGATCCTGAGCAATGGGAGTTTGCAAATGATGACTTTGTTAGAGATCAACCGCAACTTATGAAGAACATCCAGAGACGAAAACCGGTTCATAGTCACTCTACACATAATCTTCAGGCCTCATCTCCATTGGATGAATCAGAAGGACAAGGGTACAAGGATGATATCACAAAGCTGAATCACGAAAAAGAGACGATTCAGTTGGAACTTCAAAGACATAAGCAGGAAAACCAGGGACTCGAGTTGCAAATGCACGGGTTGACTGAACAGTTACAGCATGTGGAACAGGGACAAAGGAGTATGCTATCCTCCTTAGCTGAACTGCTGGATAAACCAGAGCTGGCGCTAAGTCTGTTTCCCCAAATGGCATTGCCTTATAGAAAGAGACGGCTTACAGGAAGCAGTTACCTCTATGCTGAGAGTGTCATCAACAGTAATCGACCAATGGAAGACATCATCCAAAATACTCTTCCTACCTTCAAGAAGGAGTTGTTAGATCAATTAGAGTCGTCTTTGATATTCTGGGAGAATGTGTTTCAAGATGTTGGTCAAATGGTTCAGGTCCATGAGAGTTCAAGAACTGAGTTGGATGAATCTACAAGTTGCTGTGCAGATAGCCCCGCCACATCATACACACAGCTTGATGACGATGGCGGACCCAAGACTTCAGGAATTGACATGAATGCTGAGCCAAACAGGAACCTGGTTTTGGAGGTGGGCCCACACCAAGATCCTGAAACGGTACAACGGGTTGCTCCTAAGACACCCACAAGAGTAAATGACTTGTTCTGGGAACAATTCCTGACAGAGAATCCTGGCTCAACTGATGCTCCAGAGGTACAGTCAGAAAGGAAAGATCTTGATGGCAGAAAAGGTGAAAACAAAGCAGCCGGGCAAGGGAAGTTCTGGTGGAAACACTAGTGCAAAAAAGGCCTCTTGCATCACCTTATCTACATATGTTATCTCAAAACACATGTGAATAACTGACATGGCGTCTTTTTACCATTTTTATCAAATCTTCTACATTGATTGTCTGTGGAGCCGATGTTAAAAAAGAAACAGGGTAAAATTTTAAAATAATGAAAGTTTAGTTTACATCGGTTAAAACTCATGTAGAAAAAAGGGGAAGAAAAAAATTACGTGCGTAATTCCAGATCGATTATAACCTGGATGGATGTGAAGTTATACGAAGGTACGATTTGTTAGTCTGTGGAGTCCACCCATACGTAAACCTAGCCAAACTTCAGGAAGAGGGAGCATCGACCTGTTATTCAATCCTAGTGGCGTACTCTTGCTGCAATTTATGCGACAGTAAGGTAAACTTGCTCCGGCTTCCGCGTCGATTGCAGGCCCCCACTTCATTGCAGGCCCCCACTTCATGCCTTCATTGTCGGACAGCATCGAGCGAGCAGAGGAGTAGGCTGGCGTTCCAGGAGCATAGCGGTAGGACGCCGTTCGTGAGAGCAGAACAGTAGGACGTCGTTTGAGAGAGCACAGCGGATCAGACGGCGTCAGTGGAGTTGTCCAGTGGTGTCTGTCCAGAGCAGCGAGTTTTCGCCTGGCCACGGTTCGAATCAGAACCCTGAACCGAGGTTAGATTTGTTTCTTTCATAATAGTTTGATTTTTTTTAGGGCCACAGGTAGAAGAATATTTATGCTCTATTGATAAACTGTGCATTACTTTTTGCCTCTTCTGTTTTGTTGCCCTTCTTTTTGTTGTTTTGGCTGTAGTGGTTAGTGTTTTATGCATTTAGAGAGAAATTGTGTTACATATATTCAGTTGTTCTTTGAATAATAACAATCATAATTTGCTCTTGTTCATTGAATTATGCAGCATGAAGGTGTAACTGAGTAGTGTGGAAGTACTGCAAATGGCCCTTTCGTTATGAACGCTTTTGAAATGATTGCTTTGTCTCAATGGTTGATCCTGTCGCCATTGTTTGACAGGTGCCAGGTACATTGACAACTCAAGTTCATGTCTTCTCATCCTCTTTACTATGTTTTTTCGTTGGGTAGTTTCCTCTGATTGTTTTATGCCAAATGAATCTTGGCATTGACATTTTGTCACAGAAGGTAGTTTAGCTGTAATAGTTGATTAATATGCATTAGAGTTGAAGTTCTACCAACATTAACTTTTAATTTGCATTTATTTTCTACCTGCTTGAAGTAAAACCAGCCTTTGTTGTATCTGGAAGAAGCTTACATACTGCTATTTCTTTTCTTTTCTTAACGATTTTGTCAAGCGGCAAACCCGCTTTATATAACGTGAGCCTGCGAAAGTTATCATTTCTGCAATCGAAGCAGCGGCAAGATCCATGGGACTAAAGGTCCATTCATCTAACTATAGGGTAAAGTGCTAATTAGCATCGTTAACATGCTCTAAGTGTTAAATTACCCATATGATTCACTATCTTAAACACTAAAATAGAAGGGCAGGTGATACAAAAATACCAAACAAGATGTCAATCAGTTAAAATGTTTATGATATTTTCTTTCCAGAATTGTATTTCTTGAATAATGTTGTAGCTTATTTTTACTATAAATACTTTGACAGACTCGGATCGAAGGTGTATCTGTGAACAAGGGTAAGTTTGCTATTGCATTAGAAGTGTGATTTCTGACCTTCATTATGAACTTCGTATTGTATGTGTGGTGACTCCTTTATTTTTAAAATTTTAATTTATTTACTATTTGTTATTTTATTATTATTATTATTATTATTATTATTATTATTATTATTATTATTATTATTATTATTATTATTATTATTATTATTATTATTATTATTATTATTATTATTATTATTATTATTATTATTATTATTATTATTATTATTATTATTATTATTATTATTATTATTATTATTATTATTATTATTATTATTATTATTATTATTATTATTATTATTATTATTATTATTATTATTATTATTATTATTATTATTATTATTATTATTATTATTATTATTATTATTATTATTATTATTATTATTATTATTATTATTATTATTATTATTATTATTATTATTATTATTATTATTATTATTATTATTATTATTATTATTATTATTATTATTATTATTATTATTATTATTATTATTATTATTATTATTATTATTATTATTATTATTATTATTATTATTATTATTATTATTATTATTATTATTATTATTATTATTATTATTATTATTATTATTATTATTATTATTATTATTATTATTATTATTATTATTATTATTATTATTATTATTATTATTATTATTATTATTATTATTATTATTATTATTATTATTATTATTATTATTATTATTATTATTATTATTATTATTATTATTATTATTATTATTATTATTATTATTATTATTATTATTATTATTATTATTATTATTATTATTATTATTATTATTATTATTATTATTATTATTATTATTATTATTATTATTATTATTATTATTATTATTATTATTATTATTATTATTATTATTATTATTATTATTATTATTATTATTATTATTATTATTATTATTATTATTATTATTATTATTATTATTATTATTATTATTATTATTATCACTATCACTATCACTATCACTATCACTATCACTATCACTATCACTATCACTATCACTATCACTATCACTATCACTATCCACTATCCACTATCCACTATCCACTATCCACTATCCACTATCCACTATCCACTATCCACTATCCACTATCCACAGGCGTTCCAAGTCGCCTCATTTCTGCATATGGTGGATGTCCGTAAGGCAGCTGGGGACACGCTTGAATATCAGGGTTAGCTTGCTTTACTTTTTGATCTTCAACCATTGACTTTGGAATTTCTTTTAATGGAGAAATTTTTCTTCTTAGACTTGAAAGTTTATTTATTTATTTTTGAAGGAAGAACATGCCTATGTTAACTGTTGAGTTTGCTTTGCAGTTCTACATGGACTTATGTGATAAAATTGACCATGTTCTACAGCGGAGCAAATGCTGCTCCGCTGTTATGAAATTATCTGTTCTGATTCCAAGGCATGAACTGAATCACTTGACTATGAGATAACTGCTAAACATAAACTTTGACCTGATTACATGGTATTTATCTACACCTGTACAGCTGTACTGAGTTAGAAAATTATATTGTCCCTATAGTTCCAATTTCTTCAATACTGGCAGCATGTAAGCAGCTGCAAAGCTAATATGCTGTTTTACAATTGACTGGCCAATTCTTCATTTTGGTGTACGGCAGATTTAGTTCAAGTTTTTACAATACATATGGATTCTATTATTTGTACTTTATAGTGTGAAAGCAGAATCAAGAAATTCTGTAATGAAGACAGTGTGATGCAAAGGATTAGAAGCCGTAGAAGAGCCCAAAATAATTGGGGCAAGGCGAGTTATTTGATACTCCCTCCGTTTTAATTCATTGATGTTTTAGCATTTTGGTTCTGCATGTTTTATATAAGAAAGTGATCATTTTTCTTGTATAATAAGTTGTAATCTCAACGTAATAAATTAGGAAGAGGTATGCTCATATGAAGGAATTGCCTTTATAGAGAGGAGCAACTCTATATAAATATAAACTATTTATAAAGGCATTCAATGAGATTTGCTCCAAGTAATATTATATACCAACTTTTTAAATTAATTTGTAGAGATTCGTGAATATGGATCCATTCTCGTATGAAAAGATTGATGAAGTACCAACTCGTTAGGCATCATATTTTATTTACTAGCAATGGCGTATTCCTTAAAACACAGATGATGAGCGAATTTGTTGAAGTTCTTTAGATATTCTGAGACTTATAATTTATTTTTGGGATAAGGGTCAGATAGGGCCTCGAACTCGAAAAAAAATGTCAAATAAGGTCATATTTAGGATGCTCTGTCCGGCCGACGCCATTTGGGGTGGTTCCCGATGGAATTTTTTGATGAAATTTTTTGAGCATCTTCCTCATTAAGTCTAGTTTACTCATACCAAATTTCACCTAAAAATGCAACCGGGAAGGTAGTCAAATGATTTTCCGAAATGTACGGGGTTGTTTAACTTCACAATTATCTTCAAAAAAATATTTGACTACCTTCCCGGTTGAATTTTTAGCTGAAATTTGGTATGGGTAAACTAGACTTAATGAGGAAGATGCTCAAAAAAATTCATCAAAAAATGGCATCTGGAACCGCCCCAAATGGCGTCGGCCGGACAGAGCATCCTAAATATGACCTTATTTGACATTTTTTTTCGAGTTCGAGGCCTTATCTGACCCTTATCCCTTTATTTTTTATGCTATGTATTAATTCATTTATTTCCAATACTATTATAATTTATTGTTCGGGACAATTGTTAAATTCTTATTGAACTTTGTTCAACATTTTGTGCAAGAAATAAAAAACTATTTGTGATATTGTGTGAGATTGGTTAAGTGAAACATGTGCAATAACCAACGTGGAGGTGTATCAATAATTTTCTTTGAACATTTGACATCGGTTTTTAATATAACCAACGTGGAATCTATTTCACATTAGTTATAACCGATGTTGAATCCCCCATTATGCGGCCAAATGTGATGTTTGTCTACGTCGCTTATTTTAGAATCGATGTGGATGATTCCACATGGGTTATAACCGATGTGAATCCCTCATGATGCGGCCAAATTTGATGTTTCTCTACATCGGTAATTTCACAATCCATTTTCACATCGCTTGAATCTACATTAGTACTAGGGCTGGGTCCGAAAAACCGAAAACCGAAAACCGAATCAAATTAAATCGAACCGCAACCAAATAAAACCGAACCGCTAAGAAACCGAAACCGAATGTAAAAAACCGAACCGAACCGAAGTTGTTTGGTTCGGTTTTGGTTTTTACCCTTCAAAACCGAACCGAACCAAACAAACCGAACTATTTAAAATTTGAAATTTATAATTTAATTGTTAAGCATTAATTCTAGTTAATCTTAATATCATCAATAGTCTTTGGTTTTCTTGTGTTAGAGAAATAATGTTTGTTTTATGTTTAATTTTATGTTTAATTTAATTTAGTTTATAAATTCATTTACATTTTCATTGTCTGTAATAATGTAGCTATATTGAATGATGATAATATGTGTTTACTAGTTATTAGTAGTAATTAACTTTTTTTAGATAACTTAAAGATTTTTTATTGATAAAACAATAAATATTCATCTCAACTATATCACATAGAAGTATACAAAGTATATATTCATGAACTTTTTTTGAACTACTCACAAACAAATTAAATCTATAATATATACAATTTTATCTATCTCGCATACTCATATAATTCAAGACATATTTATCTCTTCTCATTTTTATTTTATTTGTCGTTGTATTGTGCTTGCATTCTTTATGTAATATGTTTGATCCCTCTAAGTATTATATCAATTCTGAATCAAGTGATAATTTTTTGGTAAAAAACCGGAAAAACCGAAACCGAACCGAAACAATCCGAACCAATCAAACCGTGGTTCCAAGTTTTGGAGTGTAAAACCGAACCGAAACCGAACCGAACTTTTTACTTGATTCTATATTTGGTTTTAGGTCAAAACCGAACCGCCAGAACCGAACCCACCCCTAATTAGTACATTGGTTGTAAACTGATGTTAAAAGTCAATTTTAAATCGATGTGAAGTCATTTTTTAAATCTAGTGAATGTGAACAATGTAAATAGCCTTGCCAAACTGTTGGGACATCTGACTTGGTAGGTTGTGTGATGTATTCTTCTAGTGATTCTGTATATTCCATGTGTGGGTTTTTATACGTTTTGGCTTGCATTCTAGAGAGAGATCTGTTATCAGGGAATAGATAACCACTTGTGATGTTGACTGTTGTGCATGCAGTGAATCTCATATAAGGTTGCTAGCGCAATATGTTTAGTTTATATGATTCGCGAGTATGGCAGTGTATCATTATGCAAAAGCATATGATAAAAAAGCTTGCATTTTTCCTGCTTGATTTTAATCTATCTCCCGTTCAAGAATCCAGAACTTATCTGCATATTCTATGTGAGAAGGAAATACACCTGCATCTATTAAATGATGAATAGTGGACATTGAGATACACACCTGCATCTATTCAATCGGAAAATTTGAGAAAGCAAAATAGCACCTACAAGTCTCACGGAGTAAAATAATAAAATATCTATTAAGAGAAAGAGTATTGGAGTCCCTTAGAACAGGAGCTGCCGCATAACCTGAGATTGAGAAGGCTGACTTTGAGGAGAAGGATAAACTTAGACAACATGAAATCTGTGAATTTAAGAAATACTACGTATAAAGATAATTATGAGATGCATCATATTTCTTCATTAAATCACGATTTGGAGTTGACCATAAAGAAACATGAAGAGAAATGCTTGTAGCTAGAAACACAAACAGATAAAACTAGAATTGAGTTAGGGAAGAAGACAATGGATCTCGAGTGTCTAAGTGATTCAAGGAAGGTGGGAGAACTCGAAGCCTTTTCGGAATCAAAGTATCTGGCATGGCAAAGGAAAGAACATGGATATAAGTCTTGATAAATCTCAGTTTGGATCTCTAGAGGCATTGGGAATGGCATCTGAGTCCTTGAAGCAGGAAGTTTTGCAGTCCAGGAACTCAAGAAGGTCTGTGCGGAAGAACTAAACCGCTTTGGACTAGATCTCAACGGGTTAATGAAAGCTGGATAAGAATAGGAGACTATATAATGAGGTGCAACTGTGCAAGACTCTAAAGGGAATATCACAGACCGAATAAGGCCATTCTTGTTAAACCAAAGTCAGAGGATGCATTTCGAGACACCCTACTTTTAATTAGACGATAACATGTAAGTATATTAGAAAAAACCGTCAATAGTTCGTCTGTACAGCAAAAAATATGAGCAAAAATGTAGGCTATCCAAAGATTGGATAACCCATCACCTGCCAAAATAAGGGTGCCATGACAGCCCTCCTATACTACCTCATGGCCTATCACAAACAATAGGTGATGGGCGGAAAGTTATCAAAGTACTACCAAATCATAAGGATAGATGCAGTACAGAATTTTATAGACAACATATTGGATCCTGGAAAAAACTTCCTCCTCCTTTGGCAAAAAATCATCAAATCGATCTGCATTTCTGACTCTCCAAAGCGAGTATCTGGTGCACGAGAAAGCAATCTTGGCAGCCTTTAATTAGATTTGTACTTGATGGGTACAATGTATGCAACTTTGCCTATGGTCAAGCTGGTTAAGGGAAAACATATACTATCGTCCTTATCATAATAGTTTCAACATTGGAATTTACACACTATTCATGTACTCTACTTTGACTACCTTTTATTTATTAATGTATGTGAATTTTTTTTTGAAAAATATTGTTGAATTCATCTCATTACAAAGTTTCATAATCTGATTTTTAATTTTTTTTACTAATCGAGAATTAAATATAATGACGGTCAAAGTCGTGCATTGACAAGCGTGAAAAAGGGAATATTGCAACTAAAAAAGAACGGAGAAGTACTATGGAAAAGCTCTATATATAGCATATGAAGTTGGTGTCTGTTTGAGATGTATAATGAACAAGTTCGTGAGATGCTCTGCACCGAAAGCACCCGAAAGCACCCTGATGCAAGCATGCACTCTGTTAAATCAACGAAATATGCTTTAGAATTGATGAAATTTGGTTTAATGAAATATGCTTTAAAATTGATGAAATTTGGTTTAATGAATAGAGCTGTTGATGCCATTGCTCTCAACGTGGGTTTCATGGTTGTCTATGGGTCTGTTTGCAACAGCTTATACTTTTAAAAAAAGTGTTTTTTTTAATGAAATGAGGAAAAATGATTAAATAAAAGTTGATAGTGTTTGAGAAAAAAAAAGTGATTTTGAAAAGTAAAAGTTGGTAGTGTTTGGAAAAATAAGTGCTTTTTGTGTAATAGAAAAAGTAAAAGCACTTTTGACACGAAAGCCGAGAAAAATAAAAGTTGTAGTGTTTGGTAAAAGAAGTGCTTTTTTAAAGCCAAAAATCGAGAAGTGCTTTTTTAAAAGCGTTTGCAAACTAGCCCTATATTTGGTAAATCTCGCTGGTAGTGAAAGAATTGATTATGCTGGTACAATATTCAAATCTTTTTCTAAAACCAATTATTATATTCAATCTATGGTAGGGAAAGTTCCCGAAATAGGACTAAAACAGTTTGAAAATTCCAAAATAGGAATGTCATGTTTTTTATTCCCAAAATAGGAGCAATTACTGCCAAGTTTGAAATATACTGCCATGTTTGAAGTCTGGTACTACCAAAACATGACAGTAATTAGTCCTATTTTGGGAATAAAAACATGACAGTCCTATTTTGGAATTTTGAAACCTGTTTAGTCCTATTTCGGGTAATATCCCCTTTTACAATAGTAAACGACTAATGGTTAGATGGTAAGTGTCAATTATGTTCATATCTTCTATACTTATGTAAACTTATTACAATAGTAACGGCTAAATGGAAATAATTGTTATTATATTTAATGTATAATTCGTAAACTGGTTAAATGGAAAGCAGCTCAATGATTAAATGGTTATATAGTACTCCGTCAATGACAATTGTAAACGGTTAGGGAGGCAGTCGAGAGATCCAGCAACAATCACCGGATTTTCAACAGCAACCGTCACAGTCTATATATGGAGGCAGCGGCCGCACCATTCAGCCAGGTGGTTCCGCAGTTATAGACCTTTATAGTTGTGGACCCCTCCGTCGCAGTGGGGGCCCTCATATCTGGGTTGCACAAGTCCTCCCACCGCTGCAATCTCAATCAAATGTAATGAGTTTTCAGACACAATTAACTTTTATCTCAATTTCG